AGTACATCCTGCACCCAGTGATAGGGTGTGCTTAATTTATGCAAGGCTGGGAGCTCACTCCCACCACTACTAAAATAAAAATAAAATAAAGGATCCCCGGGATGCCTGCACTGTCACTGGCTTACAGCAGGTGCGGGATGCCTGAATCAGGCAAAGCCCCAAATCCCTTGCCTGGGGTCAACTGACCCAGCCAGAGTAACCTGAGTATAGCAAAGAAGCCAACTTTGGCAGCTCCTACACTTGCCTGTCTGCATAGCTTGTGCTATATGGGTGTCTTCTTTTGGATGTCCAGTTTTCCATAATCCTCTGCTTGTTTAGAGTCTCTCCCCTCCCTGCATTTTTAATTTCCAGAGCCCTTCACATCCAAAGGGAAAGCCCCTTGGAAGGCTGAGGAGTGTCTCTCCAGCCTTTCTGTTTTTTCCTCCCCTCTTGGGCTCTAGGGAATGTTTAAGGGGTTGTTTTCCATTTTAATCTCCTGCTTGCTCTCTGCCCCACTCCATGTGACCTCCTAGGAAGACTTTAGGGCTCTTGGGAGGGGCAGGAAGAGGAAACAGAGAGCGCCTTTCTCATCTCTCAAGCCATGTCTTCATGTTCCAGCTTATTTTGTTAGACCAGGATTCTCAGAATAGCAAACAGCGAGACACACCCATATTTAAACGCTAGCACCCAAAGTGCATTTCGAACAAGAAATAGAATTGTATTTCTGTTTGGAAGGCTTAGATCCTCCACACTTGGGCATTTTTCTATTCATGTGAATCAATGGAGAATTGGCGGGACTTGGATCTCTGACTCCATGGCTGTGGAATTGTGACAACATGTCCTTTGCCCGTTCCTTCTCTTGTTTATTTGTGATCCTGCTTGGTTCTTCTTCTTCGCTAAAAGGCCACATTCTCCCACTCAGTGGCTGGGTTGGTAGGTTTGTGACTTCTTGCCCAGGTGTAGGGGTTGGCAGTTCCCAGGAGCAGAGCAAGAGGCTGACTGGGAAGTGAGGGGTGGTATTGTAGGGACCAGAAGTGTTGGTTTGGGGAAGGTGGCTCAGTGGTAGAGTGCTTGCCTTGCACGCATGAGGCCCTGGGTTCAATTCCTCAGCACCACATAAGCAAAAAGAAAAAAAGTGTTGGTTTGTTTGGGTGTTAGTCAAAGTGGAGCAGGTGCCTAGTGGTGGGACTTGAGGCAGGTGGGGCTGAGGGAGCATTGGCTGGGAGTCCAAGGCAGGAGGGGGACACAAAGGGAGGGAGTGGCCTTGGCCAGCATTAAATGTTTGCCTGGTGGTCCTGCCTGGAACCTTCCAGTCCTGTTAACTATTGCTGCTGTTTTTGCTTTCCTTCAAATCACATTAAGCTTTATCCAGTGACATTTTAGAAAAAATCCAGAACAAAGAGAAAAAGTGGAAGAACAATGGAAGATTGATGAACAAAATGTTAGAAAGGGTTTACAGTCCAGCAGGTTGGGGCGATCCAAAGGTTAATGTTGTTACAAGATTGACAATGACCTCCAAGACACGCCCCCCCTTTTAAAAGTTATTTTCCCAATTTGCTGTAAAGAAGAAAATGGGAAGCTTTTTAAGGTCTCCAAGAGACTATTTGTCTGGCTGTCTCCACCTCTTCTGTTCATCCTTGGGTAAAACAGAGTAGCTCCTAGGCTCAGGGCAGGGGGGCATTATAGTTGGGCAGAATGCATCTTTCCAACAGTTGGGATAGGTAGTTTGAATTTATCGATAGGGACATATGGGGATGTGTGTGTTATGACCATGTAAAAAATTGCCTTATCAGAGATTCTATTCTGTTCATTAACCTAGCTGTCCTAGATAATTGGCCGAAAAAAAGTACATTATTTTAATTATGTTAAAAGTAATCTTAAAAATTCAATTAAGCTTGGCACCAGTGGCTTATACCAGTAATCCTAGATACTTAGGAGCCTGAAACCTGGAGCATCATGGTTCAAAGCCAGCCTTGGACAGAAAAGTCCACAAGTCCATCTCTAATTAGCCAGAAAAATGCAGAGCTAGAGGTGTGACTCAAATGATAGAGAGCACCAATGGAACAAGCAAGCCTGAAGCCCCGTGTTCAAACTTCAATATCGGGACGGGGTGGGGGGAGGTCAACAATGTTAAATGAAGTATGTAACAATTTTAGCTAATATAAAAATGCATGTATGGCCAGGCATCAATAGCTCACACCTGTAATCCCTAGCTACTCAGGAGGCTGAGATCTGAGGATTGCAGTTCAAAGCCAGCCTGGGCAGAAAGGTACCTGTGACTCTTATTTCCAATTAACCACTCAACAACTGGAAGTGGTACAGTGGCTCAAAGTGATAGAGCACTAGCCTTGAGCAAAAGAGCTCAGGGACAGCACCTAGACCATGAGTTCAAGCCCCATGACTGACAAAAAGAAAATGCATATGTGACACAAACTCAAACACAGAGCTAAACCTCTTCAGATTGCTCATGTATTTATCAATCAAGATTCAGTTTTTTCTACATTTAGCTTTGTTTATTTAGTTCTTGTGGTATCAGAGATCAAACCCAGAGCTTTGGGTGCTTGGCTGAGCACTGAGAGCTACATTCTCAAGCCCTGCCTCTTGCTTTATTTAGTACATTCTGTTACTTCTGTGCATTGGGGAATAAAGATCGTGTGATGGGAGTTTGAGTATTAAAATGGCAACCTAAGTCAATGGAATTACAGTGAATACCATGATATCTTTTATTTTTATTTATTTATTTATTTTTGGGCCAGGTCATGGGGCCTGAACTCTGGGCCTGGGCGCTGTCCCTCAGCTCTTCAGCTCAAGGCTAGTGCTCTACCACTTGAGCCACAGCACCACTTCCGGCTTTTTTCTTTTTGCTTATGTGGTGCTGAGGAATCGAACCCAGAGCCTCATGCATGCAGGGCAAGCACTCTATCACTGAGCCACCTTCCCAGCCCCCATGGTATCTTTTAAACCAAGACTTCTCTTTCTATCTGTCTTGTTTGTCTGTCTATTAGAATAGGACCTGAACTCAGGGCTTGGATGCTGTTCCTTAGATTTTTCTATTTGTGATACAACTCTATCGCCTGCTCTTTGGTGGTTAAATGAAGATAAATGTCTCCTGGACGTTTCTTACCCAGGCTAGTTTTGAATCATGATCCTTATATCTCAGCTTCTGGAGTAGCCTAGGATTATGGGAGTGAGCCATCTGCATCCAGCTTTCTTCTCCCCACTTAAACTTGCTGCAAAAACTGCTCAACACCAAGAGGATTAACTTTCCTGGCTGTGTTTTTCCTTCCTTTCTTCATCGGTGTCTGATGGAGATGCTATAATTAGCGAAGTAATGAGAAGTGAAGGGTAAATAAGAATGTCTCCCAGAGCACACAGAAAGCTTTGGAAGACTGGAACAGGAAACCAGCCTAACCAAAAAGAGTCTCTACCTAAAGTCCTACATGCTGTCATTTCTAGAAAAGAAGAAGCAAAGTGCGTTGGTAACGTGGCTTTTAGGGGCTGGTTTATGCCCAAACTCTGGACCCTTGTTATTTTATATCACTGCTGGCAAGTTTGGAGTCTCTGTTTATCTGAGATGCAGATGAGCAGAGTTGTCACATGTATCACATGTAAAGATACATTCTTGGCAAATAAGCTGCTATTGGAAGCTTACTATTAAAAAAATAGAAAGAAATTTAGAATAGATTCAAAGGGTTTAGAGGTGGAAAACACTTGGCATCTCTAATGCCAGTTCAATCATCTCCATTTTATTAATGAAGAAAAATGAAGTGGAAAGAGGTCAAATTGTGTGACCTTCTGAATCTAGGATGAAGGCCAAGATATCCAAGACCCAGCTTTTCAGGGACTTCACAGGACAGGGACACATTATTCTACCCCCTGTGACCAGAGTCTGTCCAACTTCTGAGTGGTTGCTTAGTGTTCTTTATTTTCTCCCTCTAGCCTAGCATTTTAAAGCTGTAACTAACTTCCTGTTTCCAGTCAACTGAAATATTCTCATTGGATAACCCATTCATTGCATAGCTCTGAACCCAGCTACCCAAAAGGAAGATGGGGGCAGGAGGACCCAGAGAGTTTGAGGCCAACACTGATCACAGTAGTGAGTGAGTGATTCAGTGGGTAAGTGAGTGAGTGAGAAAGAGGAGACAGACAGACAGAGAATTCTCTATCTAAGTCCTGTTGTCTAAGCACCAACCTTGTACATCTTTCATGATCTAAGAAGAAACCAACTTGAAGTCTGCTAGCTAGCTCAAGGCTGTCAAAACATTATAGCTCTTCCCTTTCTGTGTGTGCTTTACATAAAGTCCACTTGAAGTGGAATGTGCCGATGCCTTTACAGTTACCTGCACTACTCTTCCTCTCCCTGCTTGGCTTATGCTAATGGAGAAGGAATCTGCATGGTTCCCATCTCATCTCTCCATGATTATCTGACTCCTGTGCAGGATGGTGATTGTTTGCTTGATGATGCACACATGTTCAGAAACCACCTTCAGATTATAAAATTATATAAAAGCATGGTACCAAGATGAAGCTGTAATTAAAAATACAGAAATAATAAGAATCACTGTCATTAACTTTGTTATAATTACAGATGAAGGTAAAGGGTTACCTAATTGACTACAAACAACCTGTCTGACCTAGTGTTCTTGTTTGGAATAAATGCAGGGAAAGACGGTCACAAATAGCTAAGAATTTGCCACAACATCTTTTACTATTTCTTCTAATTGTGGATTTTTTTTCTTCTTGTTACCAAAAAGAAAAGGAAGGAAAGGAAATAGAGGAAGGAAACAAGAAAAGGAAGGCAGGAAGGAAGAAAGAAAGAAAGAGAAAAGTCAGTTGGTGTTCTATATCTGTGATTTCTAGGTGAAATCATTCATTGTGGACTGTATTTGTTTCATTTTGCAGAACAAGAGAAGGGCAATCTGCAGGTAACCTCAGTGGAAGATGCAGAATGCCGAAGGACAAAGGAACGTCTTTCTAATGGAAACAACAGAGCTTCAACTTCCAAATCTGCTCGAAATATCCCAAGGAGACACACTCTAGGTGGACCCCGAAGTTCCAAAGAAATACTGGGAATGCAAACATCTGAGATGGATAGAAAGAGAGAAGCTTTCCTGGAGCATCTGAAGCAGAAATACCCCCATCACGCCACTGCCATCATGGGTCACCAAGAAAGGCTGCGAGACCAGGTATGAATAGGATGCCGTTTCTGCTTCCATAGTTCATTCTTCCATGAAAGGGAAGGCAACGTAACTTCTCAGTTGACAAGACAAAATAGGCTTTGTTTGTGTTTTCGTCTTGTACTAGAACTGGAGCTTGAACTCGGAGCTTCAGGCTCTCACTCAAGGTTTGTGTTCTACCACTTGAGCCACACAGCTCCACTTCTGCTTTTTGCTGGTTAACTGGAGACTTTTCTGCCTGGACTGGCTTTGAGCCTCAATTCTCAGATCTCAGTCTCCTGAGTACCTAGGATTGTAATAGGTATGAGCATTAGTACCCAGCATTCAAGCTACTCATCTCCAATTAACCAGCAAAAAACTAGATGAATAAATGAATGCCCAAATCCAAAAACCTATTGTTGAAGCAAAATAGAATCTCAAGCTGACACGGGGCTTTAGTTTCTGCTCTTTTTTCCCCCCTCTTCTTTTTAATCCTGTTTTCCTTTCAGCTGTCTCCAGCTACCTGTTTTCTCTGGTTATCTTGACAACCACAGAGATATTGCCCCCCTGTGCTTCAGGTTGTTTTTATTATCTTTCTAGCAGACTGAGCAGGTTAGTGGGGGTCACAGGAGTGTGACCTCACTGCCCTGTTATCAGATTGACCTGTGAATTTGAGGAAGGTAGCCAAGAAGCAAGGGACACTTAGCCTTTATAGGACCTGGGTGAGGAAGAGCTAGGGGACCAGCAACTCGATTTCCACACTCCAGCCAGAGAGACTTGCTCAGTGCTTTTAGTCTGGTAAAAATCTCTATCTTTCTGATAGACTTTACAGAGCCTCTATCAAAAGCTTTAGGTTTTGGTTTCTTTTTTTAAAAAATAAGTTTTTTTTTATTGTGAAAATACTGTACAAAGGGGTTACAATCACATGAGCAAGGTAATGAATACATTTCTTATCGAGCATTGTTGCCTCTTCCTTTGTTTTTCCCCTACCATCCCTTCCCTCCTATCTCCACAACTACAGTTCCTCCAACCCCCGCCTAAATTGTAAAGTTCGTTTTTCTACCTAGGGTCCTGTACATCTCCTTGTTGACCACACTGCGGAAGGCTGTGGAACCCCAGGGCTACGGAAAGCTAATTCCTTAGTAATTAGGAAAAAAAGGCTATTTTTTATCAGAAGCAAGTACAGAAAATGCTAATCTTTTCTGCTGACAGTAGGTAGGTCACGGCGGTGGACTTTAGTCTTGGGTTCTGTGCCTCTTTTTGTCACTCTCTTGGGTAGTACTACATTTTATCTATATCTGTTCAGATGGAGGAAATTCAAACACAGTACACAATTTGCCAAGAAAATGTTAGGATTTGCTGGGCGCCAGTGGATCATGCCTATAATTCTAGCTACTAAAGAAGCTGAGATCTGAGGATCACATAGTTCAAAGCCAGTTGGGCAGGAAAGTCTGTGACACTCTAACCAGCAAAAAGCTAAAGGTAGAGCCAGGGTTCAAGAGGTAGAGCACCAGCCTTAAGTAAAAAAGCTAAGGGACAATGTCCAGGCCCTGAGTTCAAGCCCAATACCAGCACAACTAAAATAAATAAATAAGATACATTTTTAACAACAACAAGAAAAGAAAGTTAGGATTTTAACTCAGATAAGGCTAACGTAGACCGCTTGCTTATTTTCCTATTCTACAAGCTGAAGGTCATGGCTTCTAAGTTTTAGCAGTATAGTAGGATACATAGGTTAGGACCACAGGGACTGAGTAAGGGTGGAAAAAAACTAAGAAAATTGTATAAGGTCTGGTGATATGGCTGTGTGGCAGAGTACTTCTCTAATGTGCAGGAATCTTTAGGTTCAATTCCTAAAACAAAGCACTGCCCAAAACAATGGGTTCAATGAGAAGGGAGAATAACTCTTTTAGAAAGTGAAACTATATTCATGTTGCTGAGAAATTAGTTGATCAAATATGATATCTTTTTCCATGTTAAAAATATAGTAGTGCCGGGCGCTGGTGGCTCACGCCTGTAATCCTAGCAACTCAGGAGGCTGAGATCTGAGGAGCACGGTTCAAAGCCAGCCCGGGCAGGAAAGACTGTGAGACTCCTATCTCCAATAAACCACCAGAAAACTGGAAGTGGCGCTATAGCTCAAGTGGTAGAGCTCTCGCCTTGAGCTGAAGAGCAGAAGGACAGCGCCCAGGCCCAGAGTTCAAGCCCCACGACCGACAAAAAAATAAAAATATATATATATATATATATAAGTTATAGCTGGGCATAGTAATACAAACCTTTCATCTCAATACTCCAGGATTATATAATATATAAGCCATTAGGTGCCCAGCTTGTATTCTTTTTTGGTACTAGAGTTTAAACTCAAAGCATCCTTCTTGCTAGGCTGTTGCTGTACAGTTGAGCCACACTCTCAGTCCTGTTTTGCTTTCATTATTTGTTAGATAGGATCTTGGACCTATAGTCCTCTTCCTTATACCTCCTTTGAAGCTGGATGGTAGGTGCACATCACCAAGTCCAGCTGTCATTGGTTCAGATGAGGGTATGTATACCTTTTTGCCCAGGCTAGCTTCAAATCTTGTTCTTCCTGGGTTTTGCTGGGATGACTGGTGTGAGCCACCTTGTTCATACAGATTTTGATGTACAAATACGTGTCAGTCTGCTGTGATGCTTTATTAAACAAAATCTCAGCCAGCGCTGTAATCAGCAGACATGAGTTATGCCATTGGCGTATGGAATTTCGGCAAATACCACTTCATTTTCTGGCTTTGCCACTTTCTGATTCACAGTACCTTTATCCCTTTTTCTGTCCTTTCCTTCTTCTAGATTCTAAGGATCTAAATACCAACAGTCTCTCTGTTAGCTGGCTGTGGAGAAGAGAGGGTAATATATTGAAAAAGATGTGTCTGTATCCCTCACCTTACTTGATATCTTGATAGCAGAAAAAAAAAATCTAAGAATCTTGGAGTTTTCTTTAGTCTAAACTATTGAAAAGTTAAGTTATACACCCACCTGCTGTCTTTAAAAAATACAAATAAACATTGCTAGTGACAAATACTTGTCTGCAGATGAGTAGTGCACTGATTATGCTCTCCTTTCACATTCCTAAGCCTTCTTAATTTTTCAGGCAATCAGATGTGATGCCCCAGGTCCTGTTGGCTGAGGACAGGGCTGTGGAGTCCTGGGGTGGCTGGAATCCTACACTCACCACATGCTAATTGTATGAGTTGGGGCTTGTGACTTAACTTTCTGTGTCTCAGTTTTCTCTTGACTCAAGGACAATAGAATCTACATCATAAAGCATAGAGAAAGGAACCTTTTAACCTTTCCCAAGCTGGTTCTTAGCCTTATACTTTCCTGGCTAGTGCTGTTTCTAGAACACTCTTAAGAGGTTCTTATTAGAAAATCCATATTTAAAATTCTTTTACAAAAGTTCCCATGAGCTGGGAATGTGGCTTAGTGGTAGAGTGCTGGCCTAGCAGGCATGAGGCCCCGGGTTCCATTCCTTGGTACCACCTAAACAAAAATAAATTAATTAATTAAAAGAAAAGCTCCTAAGTACCTGATAAGGTTTATTTTCCCCCACTTTCAGAAAATAAATATATTTCTGAAACTCATTTTTCTTGTGCTGAGCATTACATTAAGATTCCATTCCTTTCTGTCTTGAATATATATCTATTTGCTGACTCTCATGGAGAGGCACCATGAGTAATATAAGATATGGCCCTATCTTCCAGTCAGTAAAATAATTTTGTATGTTCCTCCCCCACGGTATAACCCCTGTTTTCACTGTATTTGATATCAGTCTAATTTGGGGAGCAGAAGGGAAAAAACAAAATGCTTAAATAGGGATACAGGTTGACCCATTGTAACAATGAGATGTATAAGACACTATGTTGAAAATGAACTTTACAACTTGGGTGGGGGAGGAGGAAGGGTGGGAGGGTGGGGGGCACGGCAGGGGGTGGGCAGAGTATAGTGGAGGTGGGAGGGAAGGGATGGTAGGGGAAAAACAAAGGAGGCAACAATGCTGGATAGGAAATATACTCATTACCTTGCTCATTTAACTGTAATCCCTCTATACAGTAGTTTTACAATAAAAAAACTTATTTAAAAATCTCTTTACAGAGATTAGCCCTTCTTCACTCTAGATATGGTGGTCCAGGACATGCCTATAATCCCAGCATTACAGAGGTAGAAGCTGGAGGAATTTAAGACCAACTGAGCTACATAGGAAGACAAACCAACAGATTAGTCCTCTCTGATCTAGCCTATCTGTCCCAGTTTCTGAACTGGTCACAGCCTTACATTACTGCATCTGTATCTAATCATGATATCTTTCTTTATATTTATTTCTGCTACCTCAAATACATTTTAGGAAGACAAGGGCCTTCTTTCCTTCCTTCCTTCCTTCTTTCATTCCTTCTTTCTCTCTCTCTTTCTTTCCATTTTTCCATTTCGCTTGTCTGTTTTTGTGTTGGCCTTGCTTGAACTTAGATTGACCTGTGAATTTGAGGAAGGTAGCCAAGAAGCAAGGGACACTTAGGGTGAGGAAGAGCTAGGGGACCAGCAACTCGATTTCCACACTCCAGCCAGAGAGACTTGCTCAGTGCTTTTAGTCTGGTAAAAATCTTTATCTTTCTGATAGACTTTACAGAGCCTCTATCAAAAGCTTTAGGTTTGGTTTCTTTTTTTTTTAATAAGTTTTTTATTGTGAAAATACTGTACAGAGGGGTTACAATCACATGAGCAAGGTAATAAGTATATTTCTTAATTTAATTTTTTAATTTTTTGGAGGGGGTCCGGTTGTGGGGCCTGAACTCTGGGCCTGGACACTGTCCCTCAGCTCTTCAGCTCAAGGCTAGCGCTCTACCACTTGAGCCACGGCACCACTTCTGGCTTTTTTCTTTTTGCGTATGTGGTGCTGAGGAATCGAACCCAGGGCCTCATGCATGCAAGGCAAGCGCTCTACCACTGAGCCACCTTCCCAGCCCTTAATATACTTTTAATATAGGAATATATTGTACCTT